AAAAGGCAATAACCTGAGAAAATAACCATTTTAAATTAAGTTGCGGCTCTGAAATAGCACAGGAGTCGTGGTGGCTCTCTGCTGAATCGTTCCTAGCGTGACAATAAACTGTCAGTGAACACTTGAGACTGTACTCAGCGATGGCAAATCACACTTAATTGCTTTATATTGTACATGAACACATACATTTTTTTCCTTCCACTTATTGCAAAGCTCCATTTAGAGAAACAGAGTGCAATTAGTATCATATTGTTTGGAAGTATAGCAATATTGTGAAATGACCTTTCAAAAATCACGTCATCGCGAGGAACATAATGAAAGGTTAGAAGTCACTGAACATAAATACAACTGTTGGAGTGAAAAACAAAGATTTTGACTAAGTTTATAGTCAATGGCAGTCGAATCTATTTACAAATGTAGCAAAGCCTTTGAGTCTGCCACTTCACTCATACAAGATACTCATTTCATAAAACAAAAAACAAAACAACTTTTTTCATTATGGCTTTATACTTGAGGCGTCGTTGCTCCACTCACGCTTTTGTTGCCGCACCATTGAAAGCTATGCCATCACCGCGGTCTATTCCCCGAAAAGGAAAGTTATTATCTTGCCTCCACACTCCCTCTGTGCTTAGCTCGGTGTTTCACATAGAGCTCGGTGAGCTCAACAGTGAGTTCCCGGAAGTGAAAATCCCATTTGTATTCTGATTTGAGGATTTTCTTCATTTAAGATCAGCAAGGATTACTTTAAAACTTTTCCAGGAGTTTCAAGAAGAAAAGAGACGGACGAGACGTCATTCGCAATGGTTTATGGGATGAGTTGTTCCTTCACTCTTAAAATATGTATTACACAGTCTTGCACCTTTGCCTTTTTTTCCATTTTCCTTATTTTTTTTTGCTTAGTGTCAAGGTTTTTGTTGGCTTTCGGTTGGCTTAGTTCCAAGCTTAAAACTCTTTGTATAAGGATTTTCTTAAACGTCAATGGAGCGAATGAATGGGAATTTCACTTCAAAAAGTGGGCGTTCAGTGTTGAGCTTCCTATGGGAAGCGATGAGGTCAGAGCCCAGCTGTACAGAGCCTATACGTTCACTTAATGAACTCCAGGTGGGGTTGGCTGACTGAGCTAAACTTTATATTTTACATTACATACAAGTGATTCAACCTCCGTAGAAACGACAACTAATACCTTCAAAAATTCCTCCCAAACAAACAAACTAAGAATGTGTTCAGTGCATTAAAATCTGGTAACAAGAAAACAATACAAAAAGATTTCATTATTTGCAGTGCAAATGATCGGTAGTTCAATCATTTATAACCTTTAAAGGTCTCATGGAGCATAATCAGCAGTGCTTAATGTCTTTTCTTCACATTTTGTCACTCACTTTCTATCACTGAAAGCATTTTTTCAGATGTTAACATTGCAAAAGCATTTGTTTACTGTGAAATGACCTCTGGCAACTCTCACGTTTAAGATTTTTAGGGACATCAAATCTGGGTGAAAAGCTGTCAGAATTGATCTGCTCCTCAGAATTTTGCAGTGAATATTGATTTAAATAAAACAAAAAAACAATCAACCTGCAGTATACCTACTTCACATAAAACACACGGATTCAGATGGCTGGAAAGCAAGGCACGAAGCTACGTTGACAATCTGGCAGGACATGAATGGAAATGCGTCGGGTATATACTGCAGGCTGATGGGGGAATTGAAGTGAGAGTCTAGTCACTGGGACAAGTGGGAAAGTGTGAGTGCATCTGGTGGATGGATGCAGAGTGGCAATGCAGGGGGGGGGGGGGGGGGGGGGGGGGGGGGGGGGGAGGGGGGGTAGGGGGGGAGGAGAAGGGGGGA